AGGATTGTTGTCATTAAAAATCTTATGAAACACTTTTGAACAGACACATTTACCTTTAGTTACATTCAGTTCAAATCCTATGGGACAATCAAGCAACTGTATACCATACAATATCAATTCTGTTGAAATAGAACTGGATGATACAATAATTGCTGGAGATGAAGGATTAGTTTTATTTTCATTCTTGAGAAGTGTTATTGTAACTGAAGTGCAGTCTTGTTTTTCTAATAAAGCTTGTTTTGCACTATTAGCTGATACTTGCCATGAAGGAACAGAATGAATGTTGTCCCAATCTATCAATAGAAAAGTTACTGCAGCATAGCTGTATATTCTTCGTGATTGATAATTGCATACTGCTGCTAACTGAAGATCAATATCTTGACCTGGACGTATTTTTACATTTAAATTAAATTCCTCTGAACTATCTAATGCAGTATGACACTTCATTTTGTTATGACACCAGCATAGTGAAGTAGGTGGTATAGAAATATTTTGATGTTTAGAAGAAAATGAAAATATTTTTGTTAAGCTGAGCATATACTTTGATCCACTTTTACATTGATCTAAATTGTTACTGTAGATAGAGCTACCTGCCTCTGCTGCTGTATTATTGATAAATGTCATTGTAATGTTAGTAATGTTTTCAGTGTTGTTTTGAAACATACACTTATGAAAGTCATCATCAGCAATAGCATATATAGCACCACCTATTGAAAGAGCAGTATTGTTAATGAAAGTAGCATTCAATCCATTAGAAAGGAGGAAATAACTTAAACCTTGTACTTTAAAACCAGTTCCCATGTATCCATTGTTATCAGAAATGTGTAGTTGACCATTCAAATATATTATTGTGTTTCTGATATCAAAAGCTGTTCCAAAATTACAAGAAAAATTATTGAATCCATTAATGTGAAGCTCTTTGGCATTATCAACCTTAATCAGTTCTGCCCTTGTGTTGCCAAATTTTTCTGTTTTAAAGTTATTGTGAGCAGTTATATTATTAATATAAATGTGTAAAACTTCACCTTGCACCCCATTATCAATAGCATAGATACATGAACTTGCTGTACTAGCGATGCAATTGGTAAAAACAGAATTGTTGAAATAAATCATTGCTTTACTACCAATAGGAGGGGAATATAAACGAATGGAAACTACATTTGACCGGATCTTGATAAGTCCAAGCATGTTTGTATTATCAAAGACACAACCATTGAAATGTAAGGGACTGCTGGTATCAGTCACATCAGTCATTATAAGTAATGTCATGCTTGATCCCATTGGTGCTGTGTTGTTCACAAAATTAACTTGATCAAATACTGCTTTACCATGATTAGTTTTGTAATTAAGGAAAAATGTTGTAGTTCCAGAATTGTTTTCAAAAACTGATTTAGTGATAGAAATGTTAGCTGTATATTGTGTTTGAGTATAAAGTGTGGTTAAAGCGGCTGCTCCTAAAATTGGAATTTTACTCTGTAGAATCTGAGCATTTTTCAAAATTTTATTTTCATCTACATCAGCAGAATTGTTAGCTATCAAAGAATTCTTCACAATTACTTTGTGTAACACATCAGTATTAGAGCAAATATTTCTGTCAATAAAATACAGTAGGATACCACTTCCAAGATGCAAAGGAGTACCTAATATTGATTCTGTAACAATTAAACCATTCACTGTTGCATTCACTGGGTTGATAGCTAGTGTAGCAAAACCATAATAAGATGTAATGGTAACATTTTCAATTAATAGAATATTAATGTGTGGGAATAGTAACACAGCTGATTGATATTGAGTGAAATGAAATGGGTAATCAGTAAAATTAATGACATCAATGATTGAACTGTTCTTTAAAAACCCACCACAACCTCTAAATACTAACCTTTGTAGAGTCAGGTTGTGTACATTAATGAAGGAAAATCCAGTAGTAATTGTAGCATGCCAGTCATTAAGAGTTTTGTTACAGTTAATGGTAGCTGGTCCTGATGAATTACTGGTTATATTCAGTGAGTAGGTAGTATTGATCATACAGAATGATACATTACCACTAATGTAATGAGTGATGTTAGTATATAATACTACAAGAGTGTCCCCCACTACTGGTGGATCATTGTAGCACAAGAACTGCTCCAGCTCATTCTCTTTAGTCACATTAATAACATGAAGATGAGCTCCTGAAAATGACAGAGAAACAATAAGAAACAATAATAACAAGAGAGACATTGCTTCATTTGATGGTGACTTATAGTGTGCAAAGGAACAACACTATTATGTCTATTTTATAGATTCTATAGTTGTTTTCTAAAACTGTAGATGTTGAAAATGAAAGACTAAAGAGTTTACAATAATTATTATCATTTTAGTAAACAATTAGAACATAAGCCTTATCTCAGCTAGTTAATAAATCCATCAAATTTGTCTGGGCATTTTGTTTAATAAAGTTTTTGTTACATGTAGGCGAAGCTAGTATGCTGATTTATGATGTAATGACAAAGAAACATAACAAAAATTATGATTAATCATGTACACCACATTTGTCCACCCAATGATGCTGACATTAGGTTAAAACCCAAGATAATATGATGTTGACAATCTGTTATGCTGAAGATGCTATAGGGCCAATGAGTATATGCCTATAAATTATTAATTGGAATATACAAAACAATTGTTGCTATGAGAAAAACTTTATAAAAACATTGAAAGTAAAAATTGTTCTGAAATCAACAACCTCAAGCAGGTAATGCAAAAATTGAAAAGACATAAAGAGATTGCCGTAATGATATTGAACACCATGTGAAGGAAGCAGAAGCTCCCACAGTCAATTACCATATTTAAAATAAATTTCTAGCAACATTATCATTAAATATTTATGTATCAACACCAGCAATCAATACAAATGTATCACAGATCACAATTAAATTTGATGTTGCCTTCATTTTTAACCCATCTTGTTCCCTTGCAGAATTCAAGCTAATATGTTATTATGTGACAATCTAGCTGGGTTTACTGATGTACTGTGAACAAGACTATAATCCATAAATCCTCCTGTACATGACTCTCGATTAACCTCTAGTAATATTCCATTGCTCATTAAGCACATCAGCCTTAGATTTACTATGAGCATGTCTTATGTGCTAATTAAATTGTTATTGGCACTAACTACATTATTTGATTAAAGAGTAATATCTAGAACACACAAGCACTAATTAATGCAATTAAATTGTGTCAATGTAGAAGGTATAGTTTGCTGTTTCATAGTTCTACTTCATTTTGCATCATTATAACCTGTAAAAATAATATATAATATTAAAAGAATATGCTACAATAGCTGTTAAAAAGAAACATTAATAAGAAAGACTGATGGTGTTTTTATGCCAACTGAATTAACAAGAAATTCATAATTACAATATGTTCAGTACATAATGCATTCACTTGGTAATTGGCAGTTGACAGTATACTCTCGATATAGATCTACTTACCTCTTGTCATGATACATTGTTCTTGGTTCATCATACACTAATGATTCTTCATTGATAACTATAAAGTTCAATATAAAATATTCTTTTAATATTCATCTACATACAAATCTAATTACAAGGATAGTGACATATTTCATACAGCCATTGCTTTGTTCACATAAAACAGAAGTAATAATTTGCTCAATTAAAAATATCATACTCTCACAATTATCTGTCCACTCATTTCTATACACACTATTACATACTTCCTATTATTCTAGTGTTAATACAATAGGCAGGATTAGCAGAGATACCAGATTCTATTAATAGTGGTACTGATTGACAATTATAATTTAAAAATTCATCTTACTTCCAGTAACACCATATGCAGGATTAGCAGATATATCAGTAATGCATCCTATGTCTTAATGCTATCATATTTTATATTAAATGTATTTACTTTCACCAGTAACTCCATATGCAGGATTAGTTGATGCTGTTAGTGTATTCTGTATTTTATCCATAAATGGTACTATAAATTGAATAAATTTTTATTATTTTGTTTGCATACATATTCTTGCCTACACAAAGCGTAGGTGAGTCCAATAAACATTACCATCTGATTGTTGATTTATTTCAGCTTTTCTTTCATCAGAACTGAAAGTATCATTTCCATTTGATGTTTTATTCCATCTTCTCCTACACACTAATACACTCACTATTAATATTACTAGTATAGTAACTACCAGTAATATAAATACTGCTGTACTAATACTTCCTGCTATTATTACTATATTACTGTCTGAACTTTGTAATGTACTAACTGGTGTACTCATCACTGATGTAGTATCTATAGTCAATGATAAACTGTTACTTAATATTAAGTTAGTTTCAATATATTTTGTTAATTCCATTGTTGCAGTAGCTATGGAGTATATGCTTGATGATGAAAGCACAGTAATGACAGTATTAATATGTGTACTACTAATTGTTGTTGTAGCAGTGTTCGTAAAAAATGGTGGCATAGCTGGTGGCAGTGAAGTGGTATCTGATGTAGCTATTGAGGATATGGTTGATGCTGTAATGTAATTAGAAGATGTATCAGTGGTAGTTACTGATGTGGGTTCTAATGGGAGAAATTATTAATGTTCATAATACCAAATGAAAGTTATTCTTACCTACTACAACTGAGATGAGTGGATTGGTTGATGCTGTAATGTAATTAGAAGATGTATCAGTGGTAGTTACTAATGTGGGTTCTAATGGGAGAATTTATCACTGATGACATCAAATAAATTTTATTCTTACCTACTACAACTGAGATGAGTGGATTGGTTGAGACTGTAATGTAATTAGAAGATGCACAAGCAGTAGTTACTGATGTGGGTTTTAATTGAAGGATTTATTAATGATAAAACCAAATAAAAGTTATTCTTACCTACTACAACTGAGATGAGTGGATAGTCATTGGCATCTAATGCAAATAACTCATTGTTGCCCCCCAGTCTGTAATTGTGTGGTCCATTATAGTGTTGATAGAACATTACGTTTGCAGCATTACTTTCAATCATCAGTAAATCACCAGGTTGTACTGTTATCTCATTGCTCATAGCAAAATTATATAAATTCTGAGATATGCTAACAGCATTACTGATGTTCACTGGTAGTGCTGTAGTAGTGAGATTATTTGATCGTCTTATTTTAATTACTGGCATATAATGTGTAATAAAGGAACTTAATATCCAGTTAGTGATAATACCATGACATGTGAACTTTATATCAGGAAATATTCTAGTATCAGAAATGAATATTGAATTAGTAATGGAATAACTTAATGAATTGGTTATGTCCTCAGGTACAAATTGTGAAAAGCAACCTAAATTAATAGAAATGAGTTATTAATTATTAAGATTGATCTATTACATACTTGTATCCTGTACTATTGGATGTATTAGTATATTCCATGATTTATAATCAACATCTCTATTGGCCATACCAAATATTCTAATGCTAGCATCATCAATTTTACTTGATTTTACTTTCCCTATTCCATCAATACCACCAGACAGGTTCATAAAATGGAATCTAACAACACTTCTGTCATCAGGAGGTTGATATACACCAATCCTGTATCCACTGGAGACATTTAATGGAGTAGGGAGAGTGAAACGATACTGTCCATTAGTTGTAAAGTTATCAGGAGTCAGTCTGATTTCAACCAACGTCACTCTAGTGTACTCATTGAAGTTGTTAGCTGGACTCCATGCTTCAAATTTTGGATATAAATTTCTACCAACATTATCATCAACTGTCCTTATATCAACTCCAATCAACATTTCTGTTATAACTGTAGCACATGTGAACATGATGTCATTCTTCATAGAGTCCTCAATGATGATCCATCTTGTTGCAGTGTTTTCAGTTAGTCTGTTATTACGTAATGGTCCTGATGGAGTTGTTGCTTTATCCTGTAGAAGACTATAATCCATAAATCCTTCAGTACAAGACTCTCCATTAGCCTCCAGTAATATTCCATTACTCATGAAGCACAGCAGTA